TGCAGAAGCCAAAGAATCAACAACTTCATGTATCTGTCGATTGCTAGAACTCCTTATTAGGATAGCTCAAAGAAGAAGAGCATACGTACCTCTCAATGTAGAAGTTCTTCGCAAGAGTTGCTTTCAAAGTGCTCTTTCAATCTTCTTCTGCAAGCACCTAAAAAGAATGAACCTTACCTCTAAAGACATGGATTTTATAATGGAAGTTCAACTCACGAAACCATAACAGTGGAATAAAAATACGAAGATAAAGCGAATGATAAACTCAAGTAGGGAACTCGTCTTTTGGAGGGTGTTTCCTTGATTCAAGCTGCAACGAGTGCACACGATCCTCGGCCGAAGAAAGGACGACATGCACTGGTAACCCTGTACGACTGCACTGTATTCCTGGAAGCTTCTCACAAGTTACAAAAATTCCGAGGGCAACCCATAAGCTCCAAGAACGTCTGCATCCGTCATCAGAGGGTTAGCTACTGGACTCCTGCTGCAAATAAGATATGCGTAGCAGGCCATGAAGTCTGAGAGAACAGGGAACTGTTTGCCATTCATTTCGGTGACGAATCCTCAGCTATGTACATATGTATGTGTACTCCAAGTTGTGGAAGTAAAGTGGTAAAGCCATGCTAAAAATAAAAATCGCTAACATATAAGTAGAATTGGTGTGAGGTAGCTTGGGAAGTTCTCGCCGATTTTGGACGTGCTGAGTTTATAAACTTACCAAAGACTACCCGAAATCATGTCAAGTTTATTGAAAGTCGAACTTGGAGGTTATGAATTCTTTTACAAACAGCCATTGGTACAACATTAACAGTTTCTAAATTTTGTGGAAAGGCTAATACTGCTCTATATTTCCGTAAGCGGGTTGAAGGCACAGTTCGCGATAACCATGAGGTACCCTTTTAAAATTGAAAATGTCAGTGTTGATGTAGAGCAGAACATCTGTTTCGACGATAGCGAGAAGATCCGTCTTACTCACAAAAAAAGCCTTCCTTATAGTAGTGGAATTAGAGGTTGTACGAGATCACCATGGCAAGTAAGTGCTGTTTGGACGAGATTACCTTGATCCAAGCGCGCAAAGAGCTAACTATATCAAGACGAAAGTGTGCAAATCTGCGTTCCACTGTCGGTATGGGTTCTGACAAGTTTGATTTGATTTGATTTATTACACGACTGATTCGTGTGAAAATGAACAACGGAAACAAACAAAGCAACTCAAAACAATAAAAGTCGATCGAAGAACTAACTTATGCGTGGACACTACACCAAACAAAACGTGAGGTAGAAAAAAAGTTATAATATAACGAAGAAGTGAAGTAAGAGTAAAACAAAATGTGAGAAAAAAAGTTTGAATTGTTTAAAATAAGTTGTTTGAATTTCCTACATAGGAGTTTCTTGAGATCGTGCAACCTCTACAACGCGGTTGAAACTCGTCCAGTGTGGGTATGGCAGACACATGATACAATATCTGGCCCTTTGTCGTGCCCTGTAAAAGACGTTTTTCGACTCTATAACAGCAGGTATGGTTTAAGGCGGAGCCCGGATGCCATAATAGAACATCAGAAATAAGTTTTATCGTGAACTGTGCCTCTGAACTCCTCAATTCGAGCTCGGCAACCTAACTTGGTGTTTCTACATAGCCTTCTCTGAAAACGAGAAAATATGTACAACCATGGAGAACGATGAGGGAACGGTTTTACGCACGTATTGCTACTTTTGAGCTATAAGAATGGATACGTCACCGATGACCATTTTACTTCAAAACTTTAAACAGCATTGTTCCAATCTTATCTTCCAGCTCCAATGATCAAATGTATGCGTCCAGCACCTACGCGGATGAGATTCTAACAGTGTTCTCTACTGAGGTTATCTTCACCTTTAATTATAATGATAAAAAAGAGGGCTTTTCATTAAAGCCTCATAAAAGTCACAACTTCAGGTTTATTTTCAAGAAATTATTCTTACTCATTCAAGCTCCTTTATTAAGCATCGATTCTATTAGGGCACAAACAGGCTTCCCCATTTGAGTGTCGTTGTTGTTCATTTCTAATCCGAAGAAAAGAACAGGTAGCTTTAGCTTCATTTGAGCGGCATTATAAACGCCCGAAAATCGCTTAGGTGATGCGGTTCGGTACTCTTTCCACATGCACTCAGTGATTACTGCCCAACTCATTTGTAAGTTTTTACTTTCATGACCGATGCGGTCAGTATTGTGTATGTTTTCGTTAAGTTATTTTCTGAACCCATTGAGTTCTTCTTTATTCATGTATTTCACTTACATTGAGCTTTCTTTACGTTCCACATTTTCTATGTGGACTTCTATGTGGTAGTCTTGGTATTTGTTCTAAATCTACAAAATATAACATCGACCTAACGAATTTCTATAATGCCCATCTATGGTCTGGTTCACCTCCTTTCCTGTATTACAGCACAACTTGATGCTGATCAATAGCTCTCGATAAGCCATAACTGTTGCAAAGGAAGTATTTAGTAATAAATAACACTTAATTGAGTCGAAAAGTTTTCAGAAATTTGGGGACTTTCTTTTGATTTTGTCACAATACTCCCCTGCCACTGATTTGGATAATTTGCAGAGCAAAATTCTTTTTTTTTCCTGGATTTCAATGCCTGTTCATTTCTGTGAGGAGGGCTTTTTCGTATGTATTTTTCATTTTGAAAACTTTTTTTTCTTTCTTTTTCTTGATATAATCCTGACAAAATTCGGATTATAAATCTCTAATCAGTCTCTATCATCATTATTCTCAAGCAAAATGCATAGGGCACTAAGAGAGTTGAAGGGAAATCTTCCCTTGCGGTATGTTGTTCGTATTCTCACAGGTGTATCGCTGACTGGATTACAAGAAAATAATATTTCGGAAGGATGCTCGTTTTATGCTCTCCCACATTTCCTATTGTATTTGCCCATTTATCTACATTTTTGTATCATGTGCTACCACTTCAATNNNAAATGTGACAAACAACAAATGTGTTTGTGACAACGCAACCACAAATCCGGTTTCAAGAAGCCCTTTCGAACATGATCTCAAATGCTTTCGATTCTCACATTCCTTGTTATTTGTTCTCTGACCACATCAACATTTTGTTTATTTTATTTATTTATTCACATATTTTTACAGTCAATTTGATCAGTAATTCTTCATAGCAGATCCGCTTCTGGCCTGTTCAGAGTTGAGAACCTGTGAGAAGGTCCTGAAGGGAAAACTGCTTTTCACTCCACTCCTTGGATAATATCTATTTCAAAGTAATACTGCAGCATCTACATTCTGACATAAACCAGTTTACAGTAAAACCCAAGTGAGAAAGAGGCTGTCTGCCACCCCGATACCTCTTGAGAAATTCTCAAAGCACAATACTAAAACATAGTAGTTGATAAATTGCACCGAAACTACTTTACGATCAAATGAAACGGCCGGGGTAAGACACGTTCAGTTTCAGCTGTTTTTTTTTNTTTTTTTTTGTCTCGAGCTGAGTGCTACTGGCTCGCAATAGTCTGAGAACCGAGTATAACACCTGTATCACCTGTCGCCCCAATGATCGTCGACTTCCTCGACCGGGCGCCAGTAAGGTCTCCATTCGTCCCTGTCACGGACCAGAATGGTTCAGTAAATGGCCCTCGCTTCAGGGACCCGAGGTCCAACATTCCTTTCGTTCAGAGCTTTCGTGGAGAAGTCTGACCATCTCGTTGGCGGTCGTCGTGGAGTTCATATGAAGTCCAGAGGGATCCAGTCAGCAACCCCCCTGGTCCAACAGTCATCACTATGTCACATAACGTGTTCACCCTCCTAATCTTCCATTTCTTGGCGTAATCAACGGCATCTCTGACCTTCGTTCGATGGCGGAGCACGGAACACCGGATTCCCTTCTGCACTCGCGTGCATAAGGGAATTCCGAGCATCATCTTTTCCAAAGCGCTTTGAGTAGCGCTGACAGCATGCTCACCCTGCTTTCGTAGAGTACGAGTCCCGAGGTGTATGTCAAAGCAGGAAGGACAGCAGTATGGGAAAGGTGAGCGCGGAGCCGGATGTTCTTTCTTCACTACTCCAACATGTTTAGCTAGAGCATTCGGATACCATTATATCCGAATGCTCTAGCTATCGTTCCGCGGAGCGTGAAGGGAGCATCAGGTACCAATCCGTTTTTCGTCTTCGTTAAGTTCAGTCTCAAGCGACCTTTCCACAAGTACTATCAAACTCGGCCACCACTTATTCCACCTGCTTGGTGTTCGGTGTACGATGTCGTCTGCAAAGCGGAGGTGAAGTAGATAGCGGTCCTCGACACTCTCAAGTCTTTCCACACCAAATGAATAATGACTTTCTGGAGAGCGGGGCTGAAAAGTTTGGGCGAAACGGTATCACCTTGCCGGACATCTCTCTTCACGCTGATAATGACTTCCTTGTAGAATGTGAAATCCTGGTCGTGAAAAGTCGTGGAGCCCATGTAGTATCCTTATATATTGTGTAGGAATACCCTGGTTACATAGGGCTTCAATTACCGCTTCTGTCTCAATGGTATCAAAGGTTTTTTTCAAATTGATGGACGTAAGGCATAACGGCATTTTGTACTCTCGAGATACTCTAATGAGTTTGTAAGAGTGTGGATATGATTGATTGTGCTGAACCCTCTCCGAAGCCCTGCTTGCTCGCATAGCTGCTCTGCCAATCCTGTTCAGGATAACGCGAGTGAAAAGCTTGTAGATTACAGGCAGCACGTAGATTGAGCGATAATTGCCAATTCGTCTGGATCTCCCTTTTTACCAGCAACACGTCAACACGCAATACGTCTTGCTAGGTTTCCACGGTGTGGGCACTTTGCATTCCGACAGCCACCGCGTGAAGAGCCTAGCCAGAGTTCTGACGTCCTGAAGACCATTTTGGAGACCATGAGAGCAAGCTGCATCCCGAAATCTTAGCAGAAGGCACCCCGTACCATGCCGCTTTCTGCTCGAAAATTGTGCAACTGGAGTTGTTCTGATCAGTCGGCTCCTATCGTAAGTTATGCCAGTAGTAGTCGTAACCATCGTCGCCTTTCAAATTAACTTTCTTTACATCGAAAAATGTGACCTGAACGAAAATATTGGAATGTATCGCTAATCGGTAAAACGGGCTGACTTTCGTCCACTCCCATCCCAAATTCAACTTCGCCAATTCAAGTCGTGCCTTCCTGCGGTGGTCGGTGATCCTTGGATCTCTCTTCACTGCTGCCACTGCTGCTCTGACAATGCTGCTGCTCTTTTTCACGGCTATCCATTCAATAGTTCTGGACACCAAGAGACCCATCCCCAATCAAACTTCGTTCAACGATAAGAATTTGTCCGAAGTTGTTCTTACCATTCTCCTCTCGTTCGCAGTCAGCTTAGGCGGGCTCTGTAGTCTTCAAATATCTTTGAGCGGAGGTGCGGTTCTCACGGTTTTCCTCCATATTGCCCCCGCACTGAACCCTATGTCATGACCATTTCAACTTTATGCTTTCTCTTCTAACTAAAGAAGACCCCGCGAGGCAAAGTACATATTGCTTCCAAACATATTTGCGAAACATCCTCTCCTATAGAGATCCCTCCGAGTGCAAATTCTGCAGCGCTAGATTTCGGAACCGTCGTACCGTCGTAGTGATCTTATAATTATGAAACGGGGAAAATAGAAAATAACCCATGTGAAAATTAATATAAGAGTTCAGTAAGCCAAAGCATGGTCTCAGGAGGAACTCCTTTCTCTGGCTTAATAAATTTATCAATATTTCGCCTGGAACGGAATTATCAAGACCTTATTTCACCATATAATTAGGGCCTGAAAGTGGAACCTGGGCTTGAAAGCAATGTAGGATAAAATTCTGCAAATAATGTTTGCACTAGAAATTCGTATTACATTAAAGGCCATTTAGCATCAAATTAGGCTTTGCAACTGCCATGTTGAGACTGACCGGATGGTCACATGGCTACAATTCGAGGTTGTTGAAAAGTATAACCCGTGCCTAATTCGATATTGGGACCCTAGAAGGATGAAGAAGTCAATAAGTGGCCGCTCCTGAACATTATGATGGACGGTTTGTTGGCGATGTTGCAGAGCTACATATATGGCTCCTCAGACGAGTCGTCCAGTTTCTGGCGAGGGAGAAGAAACTTTGCTGATTGACAACTGTGTTCAAGCCTTGCTTTTCGCCGATTTCAGCCGTCAACAGACTAGAGCACATGCGAAGGAAGTGAAAATCCAATGCAGCAATTGTCACGGTTTCTACTACGTGCAATGTTTCCAGGATGTACACGAATCTTAAGGAAGTACCCAGGTTTTTTTCTTCATTGGTATCCTACTGTACATATATTCTTGATAAATAAGCTTTAATAAAACAATAATGTGGACCATGTTGAATACAAATACCATGAATTTGTCGGTGAGTACGAAAATATCAAATAAGTTTGAAATGTGCAATTAAAGGGAAAATATGGTGGCACCCAACAGGAAGATACGCGCTTGGCTGCTTATTCTGCAAATAGCAAAAAAGGCTCTGTATATAGCAACAAAATCTGATAATGCAGCTTATACTCACCATAGTCCCTTTGACGATATGGCTGAAAAAAAACAGAACTGTGGCTGCTGTCGAGTCTGCTTTTAAGAGGGCGTGGTAACTTCCACCCGAAAGGCGCGCCGCGCTCGCCGCATCCGATAGCGCGTAGTCGCACGCATAAAAGGGAAGGTTTGAATTTCCAGTTGAAGGATACAGTAGCCCCCGTGGAACCACTGCCGCTTACCGTGGAAATTTAGAGAAAATTGCCGTCATCCTTTTTCAGACCCTCCATTAAGCTATCTCTCAATACATAACACAATAGTCCTGGGTTATTATGAATCTTCCTTTTGAATTCAGCCGGCCGTGTGTTTGAGCTGAGGGTATCACATTCCAAAAGACAATTCTCGAAAAAGAGAGAAGATGAACCCATCTCGCGCCGTCTCTCTACCTTCTGTACACTCGAGAGAATTCTGTCTGACATTCATCATTCTTATGCATGGCTCGAGATTTTTTTTAAACTTACACGATAAGGAACATCGACTTGCTGTCCAAGTAATCTTGAATTAGGCTGCCACAAATCAATGGGTTTGTTAACCTACAAACAACACTTCAGGTAGTGCTCTATGTAACTCCGTGAGAGTCTCAGAATGAACGCTGAATGCTAAAACTTCATGAAAAAAATTGTCAATGTTGCCGTGTCTGCAGTCTTTGTTGGTTGTATGTGGTTTCTGCCCTTGCCTAGATGGGAAGATGCACCCGGTGCCCAACATCTTCGTGCATCAAAATGCCTGCTACTATTGAAGCTTCTTCACTAGAGGTCCGCTCTTCTTGAAGGATTTCCAACCGGCATGTGGCGGGCCACGTGAAGCGATTCCAGCTAGCGGATCAAAAGTCGCGGCTACCTGCCTAGAAACGCAGGCAAATTCAAGACATGGAGTGCCTGCTTCTACTGCATTAGAAGATACTGGCGACATAGCGTCATTGTCAGCGTACGCGTAACGTATAAGCCAACGGCGTGTTGAAGCCGTTATTATAAACGCTCTCAATGAAAAGAGATTGGCCTTACCGTAGCTAGCTCGACAGAATAGCACACAACTGACAATTACTAGATTCATACAACTTCCGACGTCATGATTTCAATAAACTCGTTAAACCTGCTTCTCTTTTATTCCTTAAAGAACTTTTTCGTGAATCTCGCTTTTCTACCCACTTTCGCACTATTCTGCAGACTGTGATTTCCATTATTTCACGTTAACTAGGAGTCTCTAGATTGCGGTGACTCTAAGCGGAAGGAAACGGGCGACATAAGAAGCACCAGCAACGCCTTCGATTTCACCAAGGTCGGAAGTTTCATGCGGTATTGTGATGACCGTTGGATCGAAGCGGTTCGAATGTGTCCCTCGATGCCCCAGATAAACGCCGAGACGGCGCTTGACCATCGCCAGCTGGATGGACAAACTTCTTCACGGAAGCTCTAAACTGAAGGAATGTTATGCCTCGAGTTCGTGGACGGAGGACAATCAAATGGACCACTCTGGCTCGTGACAGGGGCAATTGGAGGCTCCCTGCTTTAGCTCGAACATAACGATGATCAAAGGAACGACAGCTGAGAAGTCTGCCTGCCGTTTCTAGTGTGTACGTAGTATTTATTGAGGGAGTGTTACTGAGATTGAATGAGGTTTCGAAACTAACCCTGCGAGACATTCCACGTCCACGATATGGTGATTTTCTATCTCTCCTCACCTGTATACATTACATTATAGTAATAATTACTTTACCAAGACTTTTCAAATGACCTACATCGTAATCCCTTTGACGATATGCCTGAAAAATAAGCAGAATCGTGACTGTTGTCGGGTTCGTTATTCAGATGGTTGTGGTAACTTCCATCCGAAAGGCGTGCCGCGCTTGCCGTTTAAAAGGTACACTAGTCCCCGTAGACTCACTGCCGCTTACCGTGGAAATACGGGAAAAGTGCCGCCATCCCTTTTCAGAACCTCCATTAAGCCGTCGCCCAATACATAGCTCAATAGCCCTGGGTTATTATACATCTCCCTTTTCGATTCAGGCAGTCATGTGTGTGAGCTGAGCACACCTTCCAAAAACCGATTCCTCAAAAATCCCCTTGGCTTTCGTTCGAACATCATGATGAGCAACGAGAGGCTAGTGTGTAGGACTTATTAATTCAGGGAGTGCTACTGAGATTTTGAATTTAAGTTTCGATACTCACCGTGCGAGACATTCCACGTTCGCGATATGGTGATTCTCTTGTGTCCTCCCGTTGATCATCGTGATCATCTCTCCTCACCTGTATACACTAAATTATAGTAATAATTACTTTACTAAGGTTTCTCAAATGACATACATCGTAGTCCCTTTGTCGATATGCCTGAAAAACAAACAGAACTGTGACTGTTGCCGGGTATTTTTCAGAATGGTGTGATAACTTCTCCCCGAAAGGGGCGCGCTCGTCGCATCCGATAGTGCGTATTTTCGCGCTATAAAGAGAAAGGTTTGATTCCCCATTCGAAGAATACACTAGTACCCCAGTGGAACCACTGCCGCTTGTCGTGGAAACGCGGGGGAAAAGTGCCGCCATCCCTTTACAGTACCTCTATTAAGCTATCGCCCAATGTGTAACTCAAAAGTCCTAGGTTATTACACATATCCCTTTTGAATTCAGGCAGTCATGTGTGTGAGCTGAGGGTATCACCATCCAAAAAACGATTCTTCAAAAAAAAAGGAGAATATGAGCCCATCTAGCGCCGTCTTTTCACCTTCTGTATACTCGAGAATGTTCTGCATTCATCATTTTTATGCATTGCTCGAGATTTTTTCCAAACTTACACGATATGGAACATCAACTTGTTGTCCAAGTAATCTTGAATTAGGTTGCCACCAATCAATGGGTTTGTTAATCTGTAAACTTCACTTCAGGGACGGTGACAGACGATTGGAGGCTCCTTGGCTTTCGTTCGAACATAACCATAATCAACGGGAGGACAAGTGAGAGAAGAGTCTCTCTGTCTTTTCTAGTGTGTACGTCGCATTTATTCAGAAGTGTTACTGAGATTGAATGAGGTTTCGAAACTAACCTTGCGAGACATTCTACGTACACGACTCGGTGATTTGGCATGTCTCCTCACCTGTGTACTTCACATTATAGTAGTAATTACTTTACTAATACTTTTCAAATGCGATACAAACGTTGGTGGGATTGAACGCAAATATCTATACATACCTTTGGAGAAACTCCTGTTCCAAGTCTTACATATCCCCTTTCATCGCAATCGTCCTTCCCCTAGGTATATTGTAATTGGGTGGCTTCAACCTCTATGAGGGCACTAAACCGTTACTGAACTTGTGTGCACACGCCCTTACTTACCTCTGGGCAGGGCTGTTTAGTCTTTTCATGACCGCTGTCTTTGATAGTGTGAGCTATAACGTTATCAGTGGTGTTCCCACTTGACGCAGTGTTTCCAATACCTTCTTTAGCCAGAACACATAATGCGAAGAGCACAAGGAGGACGAACAGCCTCAGAGGTGAATTCATTTTCATTCCAGTGCTGAAATACATGAAGAATTCGATCGCTCTTTCTGGTGACCTTTGGTAATGGACATGACCGAAGCCAATCATTTTTGTAGGGAGTCATAGTTCTAAGAAGCGAGCGGAGAATCTCAGGAGCGCTCCACGACTAGCCAGCCCAGGCGAGGTGCCTAGTTTGTTCTTAGATTACAGAAATTATTGCAGAAGCCAAAGAATCAACGGCTCCAGATGAATGCGGGTTGCTAAAACTTTTTATTGAGACAGCTCGGAGAGGAAGAGCACACGTACCTCTCGTTGTAGATGTTCTTCGCAAGGTTGCTTCTAAAGTGCTCTTTCACTCTTCTTCTGCAAGCACCTAAAAAGAATGAACCCAACCACTGAAGGAAAAGTGTTGATAATGGCAGTTCAATTCACACTATCGTATCAGTGAAAGAAAGATACTAAGATATGGTGAATGATAAACTCAGGTAGGGTACTCTTCTTCTTGGGAAGTGTGCCTCCTTGACACAAGCTGCAACGAGGGCACACGAACCTTGGTCGAATGAAGGACGACCTGCACTGTTAACCCTGCACGACTGCATTGTATGCCTGGAAGCTTCTCATGAGTTACAGCCTCTCCATAGGCAGCTCATAAGCGCAGGGAACGTTTGCGTCCTACACAGTGATCAGAGGGTTAATTAGGACTCCCGCTACAAATGAGGGTACTATTCCACTATTACAGCCCCAAAAACACAAAATTTTAATTTTCGATGAAACTTCGCCTATAGAGGTAATCCGATGCCCTGATAACGAATATGACCTTCATTTTTGGTGCTGGCGCCATTTGGCGCCGAGGGCGTTCTCACCAAACTTGCTGAAAACTTGCGTTTAGGGGTTATTTGAGGCCCTGATAACGA